TTCGCTATAGTTCGTTTTCGAACTCGCTCCATATGGAAACTTAGCATATGGATTCCAGTGGCCGAGAAGTGGCTCACACCATTTGACACATAATTATGCTCGGGGCTGCTCAAAAATTGTGCATGTGCATCGTGTTTGGAGCCCACTGCACTGCAAGAACTACACCGCGGTACACCGCGGTACACCGAGGTTAGGCAATTTGGGTGTGACTTGCCAGGTCGTGATGCACGGATTGCCTTGCACTCTATGGTTGGAGGCGGGGCCAAAATGTTCAAGCTGATCCTGCGCATGCTGGTTTTCTTGCTATATATAGGAGAGTTAACTCTTTTTCCTGAGTTAGCTATCGTTGGAGGATGTGATGGCGAGAGAGAGCAAACCGAGCTGGACAACACCCATGCCTTGGAGCTTCTAGAAAGCTATTTCTCGGGAGTTTCTTGACAAAACTTTGTTTCACTTCGGGAAAGCTAAACTCAATATATGTGGAACATGTGATTGATAACTGCTCACCCAAGGCAGAGACAGCCAAAAAAGTTACGAGGACAGCTCAAATCGCGCTTGCAAATCGCTCCCACAGCGCCTTGGCGTAGATATAGTAATATGTACGTAGCTCTATCTATAATTAAACGTACTATATAGTATGATGCGCTTGTGAAATACAGTCTCAGCAAACCCAGCCATCCCCCTCTTGTGCCAAGGGACTGGAGATCTTCTTTGCAAGATCGCATCGGCGGCCAACAGCAAGACCAATGTGACAAGGAACCTGACCGTTGCAATCCACAAAGCTGGTGCATCACTTCAAGTTCCTATCGATGTAGTTCAAACGACCATCAGGTTTCGAAAGCCGAAAGTCAGAATCGAACGTGTTTGGTGGCCTGTTCTTCCGATGAAGAGCTGGATTCCACTTCTCATGGAACAGTTTCCCCAGGTGTTGCTTGGAGGGCACATGCTGGAGCAAGAAAGCAAGTGGCGTTCACTCTTGCGATTTTTTTGGGGCACCTTTCAACAATGTGACCCGAATCATCCAGTCTTCACTGATGGAACTGATCTTGAGACAGCTATACCGTACATGATACACGGAGACGAGGGCCGTGGCCTTCGGCGACAACCATTTATGGTACAAGCATGGCAACCGGTGCTGTCATGGAAGGGCCTGGCCAAAACCAACACAAGCGGGCCCCATTGCTTGCACATAATTCTTTGCTGGGCGTTGATTTTACAATCCCACTTAAAGGATCCCAAACAAAGTAGGAAGCTGACCATTATTATGTCTATTTTGGGAACATATATATGTTTAAGATTGCCGTCCATGGGTAGCTGAGGCATTCATTTTGCTCCCGGATCTTGCACTCCTGCATCACGAGTCGCTTTTTTAATGGAGAACAAACTCTTGAAGACTTAAACAGGGCCTGGGCCAATGAAATGCGTGATCTCCACTATACAGGGATAGAGGCGGGAAGAAGGTTTAGACTAAGGCCTGTATGACAACCATGCATTCCTTTTCGCAGGTCAAAGGAGGCCATCGATTCAAGTTTATCTTCATCGCGGGCAAAGGTGATTGGCCCTACATTCGAAAAGCCCCTGGGCCCTTATATGGGTTTTCCAACTTGTGCGCGTGCACCGTATTTCGGTCAGTTTCTGCAGAAACCAAGGCATTTGCCTTAGCCACCGGTTTCACCTCCAAAAGGCTATGTCACTGGTGCGAAGCAAAGGTCTGGATCCTCAAAAAGAACAACCAAACACAATCTGAGTACCACATAGTACCACCTCAAAAGCCCAACTCTCTCCAGCCCCACTAGCCTGTGCCAGGAGTGGTATGACTTCTCAGCTGGCGCCTCGTGGAAGGCACTGCCAAGACCTGCAGAAAGGTCTCCATTCAAACGCAGACACCCATTTTGGGTAGTGCCGGGTGCAGACTCATGTATGCGCATCATGCCCGACATTGTGCACACCTTCCATATTGGCATTGGTGTTGATTTCTGTTCATCGACAATTGTTCTGCTGGCCAACAAAAAGAAGTTTGTGAGTCCTTTTGGGGATAAGTTGAGCCACTTTCTCGATGCAGCTTACACTGCGTTCATCCAATGGTGCAAGAGAGAGAAGCGCTACACAGCGTGTGATGTGTGGACCCAGAAAGCCATGGGCGTGAAGGGGACTCTTGTCTAATTAATGTTCATTTGCATGATGTAGAAAGAACTTGTGTTGCGCAACATGTTTCGCGCAATCCAATCTACAACAACTAAGGCCACGTACGTTCCCCACAAGCCTAGCTGGAAAAGGTCATGATACTGGTGTTGTTTGCCGCTTTTTGGAAGACTTTCTCACCCACCAGGTGCCTAATTTGTTGCCAAGTCACCAGTTACCATACGGCTTTAGAGGCAGTGAGTTGAAACCTTGGCTCACTTGGCTTCTGCAGGTGTCATGCGATTGTGAGATGCTTGAGATGGCCCTTTACGCAGTTCGGACAGTGAACAAGTTCTTTACCATCCTCAATGGAAGTGGTACTTTTTTGTCTTCCACAGATTCTGCAACTGCGAGAAGGGCAGCCTTTGAGTTCTGCGAGCCATGCCTGCATTATAGGTTCTTTCTTTTGTTAAGCCCTTGCCCTTGCGACCTTCCAGCTCGATGTTGATCTATACTTAGTCTCACCAACTCAGGATGCCTACGCTCACTTAGCCTCGCAATCCTATTCCAAGTCATGGAAGCTATATCGATTGAGACCCAAATTGCATATGTTTTGGGAAATCGCAGAAAAGCTTGCAACATCCAGGGTATCACCGATGGTGAGTGGATGTTGGAGCGACGAAGACTTCATAGGACGGGTGTCCCGAGTTCACCGAGCCACCCATGGAGGAGCAGCATCTGTCGCGACCATGCGACGCTGCTTGGGTCTTTACAAAGGATTACTTGACAAAACCTTTGCGGCCCAGCGGCGCTAGGATTGCACCAGTCGCTGGCAAAGAAGTTGGCAAAGAGCGCAGCGCAGCAGATGGGAGGGGTGGGACATCACACCAACATCACGCAACATCGATCGCTTCAAACCACATCGCCTAGAACGCCTAGAAACCTCCCCAAACGATGAAAACAACTAAAATTTACTAAACTTCTTAAATCACTAGAAATTCCTAGTAGATTGAATCTGCAGGCTCATTCCTTACTATGCACCAGGCAATCTTCTGTCCCTTCTTTGGAGACGGCCTGAGACCCTCACCAGCACCAGATCGACTTGGTCAATCAACCCCTTTGGTTAGACACCTGCTCCGCACTCTTTTTGTTCCGATGTGGACGGCTCTGATCGTAATATTACTATAATGTAGATACATGAGTCTTTTTCTACATCTTAAAGATTCTTAAAGTAGGTCTTCGGATGGTCAAGTGATGTCAAGTGTCTTTCTTCAAATGACTACACTTCTTGCGTTTGCAAAACAAAAACACTTGTCACACTTGTCAAGGGTGAAGTGGTTTTGTGTCTTTGAGTGTCTGTGTGTCTTGTGATGTCAAGTGGTTCTCTTCAAATCTCTTGACTTTCCCAAACCCTGGCATGAACATCCGCGCCGGTCACTGCGCTCGCTCGCGGACGGCGCTCAGCGCGCACGGGCTCCACCTGCAAGGCACGGTCCGAAAGCGTGCTCAGCGCGCAACGGCCGACATCGGTGGTGTCGATCGATCTCCAGGTGGTCTATGATATACAAATACCAAGCTGTTGGTATACACCACATTGTTGAACAGCCTAGATGATATGCCAAATGGGTGTGAGAAACATGCCGTATCTTTGTGCTTCGGACTGGACCATGAAAGCGGAAGGCTGCAGCAACAGCCTACTGTGTTGGCTATGCCAAGATGATTTCAAGTCTACTTAATCACGATTCTATTCTTATGACCACCAGACTCTTGTTTTTCCTGGGACTCAATTAAAATCCAAATGTCTTTCATTTGATACAAGAATTAATTTCAATATATTTCAACAGTCTGTTGGGGCCTCTGTTGCGTTCACAGCCAAAAGAACCTATTTACGACACTTTGAAAGGCAGTTGTTGGAGTGTCCACGGCTGCCCAAAACCCGGACCAACATGGGATATATACCAAGAACGTAATCCGCCACCAGTCATCGATCTCACCTCTTGACCGGTTTCTTGTTTTCTCTCAATCCGATCCACAGGTGGTGATCCTATCGCCGGCCTCTCTTGATCCGATCAAGAGATGTCAGCATCGAGACAGGATGCTATCCGATCAGTCGCTTCAGAACGATCCAAAGGTCAGAAGGATCCATGGGGAAGTGAGCTGGGGACGTGGGAAGTGTGCCGTGGGAACTGTCCATTCATTATCATTCATTCTATATAAATGTATCGCTGTGGAGAAAAACCATGGACGAATGACCTCTTCACAAAGCATCACACCTGGTGTCAGCAAAGTTTCGAAACCACACTCTGTTGACATCGTTTACAGCTTGCTTCTTGACCACAGCAGTACTTGAGACCCAAAATCACCCGGCATCGGTCGACCCTGTGCGCTATTCCAATATCGACTCAGCAAAGTGTGGCCGCTGTTGATTCGTGTTGTTTTTTCCGCCAGTACGCCATGACTTGTCATGACTCGTCATGAGTGTCTCTTGTTGCCAACGGACGAACGGCCCACCACAGCAGGGCGATTCTTCAGTTGGTCGGCTCTGTCCAGGTGCAGTGACATGGTCAAGGTCGGCTCAAAAGGTGAACAATAGTCCTGTCCCTGCTCAGAGTGAGGTGACCTCACCCGGTACGAGATTGCATGAGAAGTTTCATGATGTTTCCTGTCCATCTCAACAAAACTCTCAGAATAAGGAGACCTCACAAAGATGCCCTGGAAGGTTTGGAACATAGACCAGTCTACCCAGCCAGGGCCAGGGGGACTCCCTCTTAAAGTACACACATGGTTACATACTTCATGCCTGTGAAAAGAAACCCAGCGAAAGAAAATAGCCAGCAAGAGATAGCAAGAGTCAAGGGACATGGATGATGCCTGTTGATGCCACTTTATCGCCACCCAAACCTCTGAACAGCTTCAGACCAACTCCTATGGCACCCCTTGTGGTCCTATGGCACCTAGTGTCGTCAGCTCGGACGTAGCTCGCGGAACGCATCTTCGGCTCATTGGACGAAGGCCAACATGTCCTTCCAAAGTTGCTCCACGTGGGCCTCGGCACTCAGGCTGTGTAAGGACGCTACGAACGCTGCTGCTGGCATCGCTACGAATGGAGCGGTCGGATGCTGGGCTCCTGGCCGTACTACTAGGAACAAGGTTCGCTGCGAACGGAACAAGGACACTAGTGAGTATATAGTGCAGTGTGAGAGAGAGAGAGAGCGTGAGAGTCAAGGCCCCTTTGGCGCCGCTTCGGCCATGTGGAGGGTGGTGCATGTTATAATCAGGCAAGGGCCTGGCGTTCATCAGGATTTATCCGATGAAGATCCTTGTGTGAGAGCAGGATTCATCAAACACCATGTATGCTGGCAACTTCTTGAATTTGCTCCTGGAGAGCATGATTTCAGGAAAACAAATATATGTGGTGTTGAAACAATGCCACTGTTATGAATGAAAACCTGACAATGTTGACACAACGACATGAGAAGGTGCTGAACAAAAGAACATGCTCCCTTTTCCCCAAACAACTTGCTTAAGCAAGGGATGGCTCAACAACATGCCCAGGCGATGCGCTGGTGAAGGATGACGAGACCGTGGTCATGATAAGATTGGTGATGTAAAACACCTTCGGTTTAGCTCGGTCATGATGAACAGAAGCATAACTGTAAATGGTCTACTGTCAATGGTTTCGATCCACGGCCCGAGTCCATGGCCGCATCTCCTTGGCTCGGAAAGAAACTGCTAAAGGGAACAAGTGACTTGAGCATTAACAACATATGTTGGTCTTGCCATAGTTTGTTTGCATGTCATAGTCTCTCTCTCTCTCTCAGGTGATGCGTGCAAGAGGCGCTGAGCCTCACCTTAACGCGTTACCCAACCAATCCATCAATGAAATATGCTTGCCTACAGTAGTTCAATGTATATAAGTGGAAGTAAACTAAATACTATAACATATATAGATGGATTGTTTGGGGTATTGTAGGATACTGACTACTCGATGAAAGCACAACCAAACTCAATGAACAACCAAGATGTGTGGGGATGGTCTGTTATCGTGATTTTGTCTGCTACAGTTGCGATGCACAATGCCTAAACCTGCAAAAAAACACCATCTTCGGTTGTTCACCTGGCCCGGTTAGGCCCATGCCCTGGGCACCGACCCAGCCTGGGTGGTGGCTGTGGAGCCCAAAGCGATGCGCAAGGCGTCACGATCGCAGATCTTGGAAGGGGCAATGCCGTAGCCCAGCTCACTCCTGGGGGTTGGAACCGAGCAAACATGTAGGAGGATAGGGAGAAACTACTGTCTGGTCTATGGTCTATGGATGTCTATGGCTATATAATTTAATATTTAGATAAAATAACTGTATATTTATGTGTTATTTAGAGACATCTTATGAGAGATACTACATAGAATACAACATGCTAAACGATACGTGCCCAAACGGAGAACGGCGCAAGCGACGGAACGACCGGGGTACGGAGACTCCGCTCGTCTGTCTAGCACGGCATCCGTTTCAAGAGAGGTTGGGAGACCTTGTGGTACCCTATATGGTACATATATAGTGGTATATTTATATCGTGGGATAAGCTATATTGGGGTTCTGTAGGGTTCTTCAAGGCATGGTGCTCCAATAACCAGCAGCCCCAACAAATCATTCAATGTTCCTGACAAACCGACATGGCACAATTGGTTTCACACATTCAGTTTCACTACATTGTTCACTACATTGTTCAAGGCACAGTCGGCTTGCAAGGCCCAAAGTGGCTTCGTCGCTCGGGCAGCGCACGCAGACCTCGGCACACCCAAAGCACCCAGACCAGGAACTGGACATGGAACAAGTGCCTGAACAGTGGTGACCAACCCGAAACCCACTGAGATAAACTTTACAGAGCCTGATGTCGTTGACGAGTCTTATTATGGATTGAGCCTTTGCCAGTGGTTCCTGAGCAATCCCGCTTGTTCATCCAATGTTCGTCACATCAGCCACCTGACGAACAAGAATCATTCAGAACATCCATTCGGAACATTGATATTATAACAGTTCAAGCTCACTACTCAATACAAAGCCATCGGGCACCGCTTTCTGTGATTCTCTGTGGAGTCTCCATTCGGGTGCCCCAGCCGGTGCCCTAACACCAGTGGCGTTGTGGGCTGTGTCGGAAGCTGATCCAACTGTCGGAGTCACTTCCATGTCCAAACGACTAGGGAGTCCAACCTCCGAGTTGCAAGTTCCTTCACTCAAACTACTCCACTTGAGGCCAGAGGGGGTGAACGAAAGCTAGCTAGGGGGTGAATAAGTCAGGAGACTCCCAGGGATCCTATAGATTCTATCCCTACCGGTTAACCATCTGCAGTCCCTTCCTCTCTTGGAGTTACTCCCTTCCTGCCAGGCGCTAAGCCGAACTTGGTGGTCACCGGCTGCTCGAAGAGTCCCTTTGGCTCCTCCTCGATGCGCTCCCGCAGCCAGTTGGCCTCACAAGGCGACGACGAAAAGGTGGGGTAGCATTATGTGCAGTGGGAGTGAGTGCATGAATGAGCGCATTTCACAATCTCCCTCCATACATTGGTGGCGCGCTGTCTCCAAACATCCCAAATTCATTAAGTTTCTTGACAAGATCGGATCTTTCGGATGAACATTCAAATTGGCCCCAATGATGGAAGCTGGAGGTATTCAAATCAAGAAATATTTCTGAACAATGCACCAAGTAGTACTAAGCTTCACCAAGCATTAGTGAACAACGCAAGATACTAATTACAGTATCTCACAGTATAACATCTTATAAAACTGACCTATCACCATGCCCCGCCTGATCAATGGCCTGCTGAATGTATGAGCGGATGCCAGAAGTCCCGAAGTACTCGAAGACCATCCATATTCCTGGGCTGCCGACAGACTCACTGGCCAGCCCCCAAACCAGGATGGGTTGATATTCATGTTGCAGGGCTGGAGGCTTACTCATGAACGAAACAGTTCGTTTGAGCTTGGGATGGATTGTCTTATACAAAGCGGTCAAACATGACAAACTCGCAAATGGGAGGGGTGTGGTGTGTTTTTGAGCTCAGCATTGGTGTTCTTGCCTCCATCTTCAAAAACTGTTTAATAATGTTTTCCTTTTTGTCCGTACCGGGAGCTTGAAAGTGACCTAAATGCCCTTTTACAAACCTTAGTGAACTCATCTTGTGAAGATCCTGGTTCTCATGAAATGATTTCTTCCTTTCCATTTTTGAAAGGCATCTAGTCACCCTGGTTGCCCTTTCAATTTCGGTGCTGCCGATTTTGCCTTGAAGCATAGAGCCCATCACTGGCAGGCCCGAGCTCTGACCTTTTTGAAGCTGCTACACTATCCAACCTCCAATGACAAAAGGCATGGCCACCGTTTCCCCTGTGGGTATGACGCAGCTACGGAATTCAAGAATAGGGAGAGCAAGTGGGCGTGAAAGGCAGGCTAACCATCGTGACTGATGAAATGTGGATGCCTTCGAAAAGGAGCGAACTGCACGACATGCCCGAACGATGCCTAGGTTTTCTAGAGCCACATTCTCAGAAGTTCTTTTGACCCCCTGACACCAACCCCAACCACCGAAACCCGACATCAGCCAGCACTCGTCGTCGGCCAACCCAACTCTGCTTCTTCACACTCGAAGCTTTCAATTGGGGAGGAAACAAAGCCTTTCAGGAGGAAAACCGCCTTCACCACCCTCCAGGAACCCTGAACTCCCCTTGAACCATCTCCATGGAGAAGTGCCATCGACTCGCTCAGCGGCGACCCCCATGGCCGGCGACTCAGACGCGTCAGCGGTGACACCCGAGGTGCTCAAGGCCCGGAAGCGGCGGCCCAAGGGGACGGACCAGTCCTGGAGGTGAGTGGGGTGAGTGGTAGGGCGCTGTGGTTTGGGTGCGAAAAACCAGAGAAGAGGAATAGAATGGATCAAAGAACACCACCCAGCACTGGAGATAAAAAAACATATTGAAACCACCTCGGACCTCGGGTGTTGTTGTTTTAAATTCGTCGTCAGGGTGGAGATACCCAGCACCTCGTCTGGGGTGGCTTGTTTACTCTTTACCACCCGAACTCCAGTGCTGGGTGGTGTTCTTTGATCTATTCTATTCCTCTTCTCTTTTGTGCGAGCTCCTGAAAACAGGGAGGCATAGGGTCTATGGCTTCTGAATACATTTTTGGTGTAATCGGATTTTCAGGTCTTTTTCGAAGTATAGAGCTTGATACAGTACAACCATGTTACCCGAAACGTGCTGGCATGTATATATAACTATAAGTCATCTCGCTAGACTGCATATTAGCATCCGGAATGCGTTGGTGGCCCATGTTGCGAGTACAGTCGCATGTTGCAGTAGGCAGGTGTCTTCTTCCCATATTCATTGAGTACAGGTACTATAGTTACAGTTGAGTTGAAGACCACAGAAGGAAGCAGTGAATCGCCGGGCGTTTCGACGAACGGGTCGGTCTCCCCTTCAGCACCCAACGACCGGAAAACGGACCGAAGAACCCAATCGATCGAAAGATTCGTTCTCATCCAGGGCAGTTCATGACGTGCAGCATCTGGTTCGCTGGAATTCGGGGCGAAATATTGTGACCCGAAACAAGTCAGGTGCTCTTCGACATGGACATGACCATGACTTCTCTGGCACAGTCAAGCAGGGTACAGTAAAGCTCCGGGAAATCATATAATTACATTGGGATGGACATCCTATGATCTCGGAATTGCAGGTCCAAGAGCACAAGTCTTCCTCAGGAAAAAGTGTCAACTCCTCTTTTTCATCTCTTTCAAACATGAAGCCTTGGGCCGTCCTTAAACTCTGGATTGTAGATCGACCTGAGAATCGCGAATTCTCTTTCTGAGTGGGATGCAAAGATTCACATACTTGACCATCGACGGTCTCATTTTCTAGCCCAAATGATCCCTTTCATTAAGGCTTTCACCTGCAGATAAACAGAAACAAATATACCAAACAAGGGGTGTTTCATGGACACCCTAAATCACCTCTATAGGAGGCTATTGATGGATACCGTATACCCCATGGGGATGACCAGATATATAATATATGGGAACCGCCTCCTCTATCCATGTTTCTCATAGTTGTCGCAGTCTTTTGAGCTATACACTGGCTATCACTGGCTTCAATTCTCCGCCTTTTGGTAACCAAGAACCACACTCTGTAGCAAGGCACAGCTCAAAGAGTATCCAAGAGTGATGTATGGAGCCCCCTTCCTTCATCCATCTTCATCCCATGTGTTTACGATCCAACCATCAGAACTGGGTGGTGCTGGAGTCTGAACCTTTGTCTTTGCGTCATTTCGCGTCCAAAGAGATCGTTCACCTCGGTCATCTCGCAGTCAGCGGTCATCACCCGCTGACGGCTCGCGGCTCGCCCAGACCGCCCGACCGCTGAGCGGCAACTCGCCCGCGTCGGCCATGTACACGCCGGACGCCGAAAAGACGTCCAACAGGAGCTGACCTGATCGGAGCAGCGAGGTGAGCAGGTCGGACCGCGGCCTAGTTGGGAACCCATGGTTTCCACTTCCATGTTGGAACAAACACATTCACGTTGGCAAATCCCAGTGGTGTAGTTCAGTTACTATGGCCGTGGTCAAACAAAAACAAAAACGAGACCGTTGACCCACCGGCGACATCTCGCGACATGTCGACAAGCGCCCTGTTTGGTGTGAACCGCGTTTGGACCCATCCAAGCCCTATTCCTCGTGCGGATCACCGAGATCGGGGAGATCGGGAGACATCGGTTCCACCCTCCTTTGAGGACGGAACATCAGCGAAACAGAAGGAAAAACACACCTGGAAGAACCCCCAAAAGAAGTACCTGAAGCCTATAGAGAGAGTCTCAAAGTACCTGAAACAGTGATGGGTACAAATTACATAATACCTATTTTGATAGGGTCATTTGATCGGGTCATGTCCCTTCGTTCATCAGGTACCTTCATGGACTTGGGTGGTTTTTAGCCCGATGTGGATTGTGAACACCCCGAGAAGCCTCCGTTCGTTCGGCACCCCGACATGTGACTCCTGGATTACAGTATATTTCTCACACCCCTAATGAAAAGGGTTGACACTCCACGTCTGGGGATTCTGGAGAATTGAGACTCCACGAGTCTACCACGAGTCTACCGCTTCATTCTACGCCCAAGTCAACGCCCAATACTCAAGCCGAGCTTCGATCCCGAACCCACAAAAACGCCGAATCAAAGCCGCAAAGGAACCACTTGGAGCCGTTCATGTTCCTCGCTGCGAGGGGCGGATCGGATACCCTCACATAGGCCTATGTGGCCTGGAGGAGAGGTGACTCTGAGGGGTGTTCCATTTCAATGAAGGGAAAACCATGCTGAGCTTTATCTTGGCACACCCTCCACATGACTTTGGTCGTGTCGCCGACGTTGTTGGTTTGTTGCACCTCGCGCCGCGGAGTCGTCCTCGATCACGCTTGTTTCTTTTAGGCCAGTAATAACTCAAAAGAAGCAAACACCAGAAAGACACCTCGAACACAGTTTTCACTATACAATCTATATACAAACACAACTGTTGGGTAGAGAATGGAGAAATGCAATGTGGGATTAGGTAGTGTGGTGTTGATGCACACGCGTTACACCTTATATATAAAATTTATGACACTTTTCTGCCTACTGTTCTTTGAGGATTGGTGGTCCGTTTGTACACACATCATCATATCCAACTGTCGCAATCCAAGTGGCACTGAAGTAACAACCTCACTGACAGCTTGCCTCATGGACGTCGAAGGCTCGTGGCTCAAAGGATGGCCACACGTGCCCAGTCAAGTACAGCCGGTCTGGGAGACAACAACTGCAAGAACCGACTTCTCTGGCGGTATATAATGTACAAGTCACAACAACCAGTTGTTTTGTGTCTAATCTGTGTCTGTTCTTCACGACTTCCGGTGGTGCCACATGGGATGCTCTATCGAACTGAATCCTACCATGAATGAATGATCACCCTGAGGAGGCAATTTGTGCATTTGTAAGACACGATGTATAGTATGATCTGATGACCGGTAACAAGGCACGAATCCTTTTTGAACTCATCCAAAGACCACGCTGCACCCGCATACGCAGCGTCCACATGGATCCACAAGTCATCTTCCTGGCTTTCGAAGAAGAGTTTCGGATGAAAAATGGACCTTGCCTGACATATGAGTTTCGACCCGCAAGATTTCTAGGAAGACGGAATGTAGCTGACTGCCCAAACGTCTCAACAACTCACAATCACAGAAGGTTCTTGAAAAACTGCTCGTTTGAACGAACACCGGATCCCGTCTTTGGGACTTGGTTGACTTATTGTTTTGCTGAAAAATACCCACCATAATATACAAAAATTTATACCAGCACCTTCCAACAAGTCTCTGAAATGGAGGATCTTGCAAACTTCAAGTTCTTAGGTAGTGACCATCCTGGAGGGTGTGTGTTAACCTCGACGGCGACCTGGAAAAGCCATCACGTTCTGCAGTCTCCCGGGAGATTCGCACTGATCCGGGTCCTGGGCGAAGTCTTTGAAGGCTGCGATGTCATCGGTGCCGGAGGTGTTGGTGGAGCCATACGTTAAGACCAAGGCCACTGGCTTCAGGCCTGATCATCGGGTATTGGAGCACTTTTTGGGAGCGAAGTCATGGAAGATGGGAGATGTCCATGAGTTTCAAGTCCAAAAGACGTGTTGGGATGACCAAGATGGGAATGGATAGGGTTAGTGAAGTATTTTTCGTCGGATTCGGGATCATGGGTATTATAAAATAATAAATAGTATAATATATATAGAAGCACTGGACCTTCAAAGGGGTGTCCAATGGAGATCCCTAGGTAGTGTAGGGGCTTCCATTGGTGACCCCTTTGAATGGTGCTGGCATAGGGAATAGATAATCATATGGTTATTGTATATAGTTATCGTGAGGTGAACTGGTTCGATTAGCTGTCAGCCTAGCCTACACAGGGGTGATGCTTTCTACATGTATACAGCTATACATTTTTCATCATTGTTCTACTATTTCTCGGACATCAGGTCAACATGTGGAATTGGAAGACAAGGACTATGGGTCAATGGGTCAATGAGTCGATTCTCTCCATTCTCTGAAGGCCTCGAAGGGTCGCATGACGCGTTCCGTCTCGCGAAACAACAACGCGTTCCGTCTTGCGCAGTGAAGCCACACCTGCTGCACGGTCTTTCTCCATGGCTTCCTTCACATCGCCTGGTCCGCAAGATTAGACTCAGCAAATGGAAGTTGCAAGTGTGTCATGTGTGTCGGGAAATCGGGGGACCCTCCATCCTCTGGGTTTCTTCACAAGCATATTCGATGTACTATGATGTACTCATGCTTGTGTAGAGTCACACATCCCCAATGGTATGGTATTATTGTAGAAGCTTCATTCCACACGAAAAGTATGTGGACAACACAGTTACTACAACGACAAGCTATAACATTACAGCATAAGACCCGAGTGCTTAACTAGGTTGAGAACCCCAATGGGACACCAGCCGGAACAGAATGGCTATTTTCCCTTTTGCCATCTTCCTTTGGTGATCTCTAAAGCTTAGGATCTACGAAAACGGCGGCCCCCCACCCCCACACCCACCCGCGCAACTTGCTGAGACGAAAACAGGGCACCAGGGCTTGGGTGTATCCTATTCACGAGAGCAATCACAGAGTTGGCCAACTCCTCCATATCAAGCGCCCTAAGCAGTGAGTTCAGCCAATGAAGCAGCTGTGGTATCTCTTGCCTCGTGGTATCCTCACCCCTCTTCACCGGAAAATCTGATTTCTGGAGGGTTCACACCCAGTTTCATCCAATTCCACACTCAACAGTTCAACCCAAAGTACCTACCCAGAACTCTCGTTCTAGACTGTACCTACGACAACGGCCCACGCCGATCGTACAGCCGTGTCGTTCGGAACTCTCTCAGCCCACAGCACCAACTTCGTCCACGCCACTGGGCTGAAGACTGAAGTTCCCCTCCAATCTGGCAGCCACTCGCCGGCATCTCAGCCCCGCCAAGCGACAGGCCTTCCTCGTAAGAACGCGAAGAAGCGGGGAAGATCGACCACGTTCTGAACGGTCGTTCTGAAGCCCTGTGAAACACAGCGGTTCATCAAAGACAAGGGATTTCAAGTCAAAAGAATAAATAAAGCTTCATTCTTCATCTGGTTTGGTGTTGACTTTCTCTCTCTCAAGATCCAGTAAACTCTGCAGTTGCCCAAGACTTCTCAAGATCGCCGGGGTGCTCCACGCTAAAGTGCGCTTGGTCAGAGATGTAGACGACAAAGGAGGAGGAATCTTGATGAAAGGCATCCTCCCACGACCTGACTCGATTCAAATCCCTGAAAAAAATAAAAGCCATGAGTACCGAAGAAAATAGTTCCGTGCAAAAGGAGAGTACCCGGACCCCGTGGGGTAGACTTAACCCCCAACAATCAACAATCCATGCATGGACTATCTACATTGACCCTCAAAACATCTCAACATCACCCCCAATTGTGAGGCGTCTGGGAACTATAGCACTGTCTATAGAGCTACCGGGTACCGGGTCACAGATCTGGTTGGAGTCGCCGATGCATCCGCGTGCGAGCGCAAATCATGATGTTCAGCATGGCTTCGCCTGACGAAACGGTCTGGGCTCGCCAAGGCGACCCCAGACCGCTGTTTATGAACATGTATTCAACTACCAGGACCCACAAGGGGTGGTTAATGGACACCCCTTAACATCTAAGGGGCTATCAATAGAAGAGAGAGAGGATAATATATAAATGATTAACTCCTAAGATAGATAACCCCAACTCCTACCGTTTTGGTCTTATGGAGAAAATGTTCTGCAAACATTGGGGAACTGAGGCTAACTTAAAACTTCTGAAGGGGGATTAACTAGACGCCAAAAGATGCATCAAGAGAAGCAAAGATCCGGGTGCAATGTGGAGATCTTTGGAGTACACAAAAACCTCAAATATTCCAACAATTAAACACAAGATAAGATGGCCTAATACCCTAGCTTTGCCGGTACTCTGAAGACTTCGTATCAACAACAAAAATACATACCAGGAGCATCCAATGGGTGTCCAATAGACTACCCTGCCCTACTTGCAGGTCTCCATTGGGCACCCATTGGAAGTGCTAGGTATTTTTTTTCTATAGACCCCCAATCCGACCGTCGCCGCTCAGCTGTCCACGGTCGACTGTCCAGCCTGCGGTGTTCTGTATGATCCCACCCCCAACGCCGGAGGTGTGATGGAACGCCGGGCCGATGCCCAGGAACTGAGCGACCCAATCCTGATTCCGAGGGCTTTGCCCGGTGAAAGAATGTGGTCGTGTGGAAAAAGGGGAGTGAAACAAAGGGATGAGGTAAACCCAGTGGTACAAAGAGGAGTATGTTCGGGTTTCAATAACGTTTCAACCAAACAACGCTCAAAACTCATTCACGGGTTCTATCCATGACAACCGGTGCTGAACCATCAAATAGAAAAATTGGTGGAGAAACTCGTGCTTGCAGGCTGATATCACCTGAGTTTGATAAAATGCTTGGCACGGTGTATCTGGATTGGTTTAAACAAAACACAATCAACATCTCCACTGCATCTCCACCTTCAATGCTTTTTAGGAAGAATCCCAAATCCTTCAAAAACCGGCCTAACAGGATCTAACAGGCATCAAACATCAATAAAATTGAACCGTCACAAAACATTACGCAAGTCAAAGCGCCCAACAAAAACGCTCCAGGTTTCCGTTTCGGTTTCTTTCTCCGCTTTCTCCACCATAAAGCCACGCGCCCCGGTTTCCCCGGGACGTTTGTCCCGGAACCCGCGGGTACTTGTTTTCACGTCGGTACTCCGCCGGAACGCGCCGAAGTGGCTCCCGAGGCTCCATGACGACCACTTCCAACTCGGTGCCGATGGGATTGGACTTCCTGACGCGTCAGCGGACGTCCAGGAAGCGAACGGAGTGAACGGTGGAACGAGAGGTCATGGGAGGTCCAAACAAACTGGAGTGAACGACCAAGAACCCTCTGGGGAAGCATGCTATTGCTACTTATTACTGTTTTTTTTCTCAGGGGCAGGAGCTTTCCAAGAACCGCGACCTGATTTCGATTTCTCCTCACCTTCCTCATGCACCTTCCGGTCCCCCCCCCCGATCCTTTCGGTTGCTTTCCAAGCGGCCATTGCAAGCCCACCGACCCAATGCTGGCGATCACCGTCTCGCTCAAAATGGCCGGCACGCTGCCTCGGGAAACCGAGCCGACCCGAAGATGAAGACGAAGAGAGTCAGCGGGGCCATGAGTCAGAGTCCTCGGGGTACTCCACTTCCATGTTGAATCAGAGTGTAACTGGTGTGTGGTCTGAGGATGATTGACGAGGATTCAGCAATACCGTGATGTACTCCTTTTTGATGGGGTTCAGTGAATTCCAAGAGCGAGTCCTGCACCAGAATGCGACTGCGCCAGACTCCAAACCTGTTGTTACACCCCCTACGCTTGCAAGACATGACAGGCGTCTGGAAGTCTGCGAGAAGAACATGGTAAAACATC